AAAAGTTAGTAGTCATATGTGTTTTCTTTCACTGAAAATGTACCTAGAGAATTGAGTGGTGAGCAAAAACGCGGCCCCAGACGGGAATCGAATTCGCTTTTCATCCATATCGGGGATACATGCTACTGCCACTACACTACGGAGGCACATTTGACCACTACTCAAAACGAAATTCATTAACCAGAAGTAACTGAAACTTGCTATTGGCACTATTCTGAGTATGCGTCATTAGCCTGGACATCTGCTACCTCTCTGGCAACAAATTATTAGCGCGCTTATTGAACACGTCCTCCTTGTATTCAAAGAAAGTTGTTAATCTTTCACGCTAATAATTGGTGGCAGGTAACTTCTTGCCGACGAAGTGCTTCCAGCGACTAAAAGAGGTGATGGTCAGACGGCCATGAGTCAAGACTGTGCGTCTGATGATCTAACGACTCTTAGCCCAGTTCAGTGAACTTCCTCAATGCCAGTTTGGCCGTATACAGTCTTATGTTGTCTTGAAGAAGGATAAGATTGCGGACGACATCGACTTCACAACGCCCTATTGCAGTGGTCCACGTGCGCACAGCAGCTCACGGCGTTGGTTGTTTCTCCGGCTGGTAGCAAGTCCCAGTTATTGGCCCAATCCCTCAAAGCTGATAAGCGCAGCCTTCAGCTGAAGTCAATTTGGACGTGGAGTAGGAGTTTCTCGCCGGCCTGGTAACGACTACTGATTCGGATGGCGCTAAACTTGTGGAAAAAACCCACTTTTCGTAGGCGGCTATACATCGACCAGAAGAGGGTAAAAATGTGTGTCTGGTTGATTTCGCATACTCTAATAGTGTCGTAGAACAATTATTACTTCTGGCTAATAAATTTGGTTTTTTATCGCTCCAGTGCCAAGTCTATGACAAAACCTAATATTTACAAGCAATGGGCTCAACTTTGTAAGCGTTTTTTTTTTCACAAATTGGAACAAATTTTGCAATGAAGAATGATGACAGGGTAGTGTTTTTTGATGAGCATCTGCAAACTCCCCTATAGCGCTATGTACCATCATTTATTTTTCATGCCAGGCGTAGTGGGATTGTTTTGAAATGTTGCAAAATGTTGCATTCTCTTCGGTATTACGCCTGCTCGCACACCCTAGCCGACTAGAAGTGCTCACACTGAGTGTGAAACCCCAATATTCTTTCGAACGTTACAATGTAGGAAAAGTTTTTCTTCGAAATGCAAATACCGCAAATATACCAATATAGTCGGAGAGAGATTTTCTCTATCTAACGATTAAGAGTTCATTACAACAGAGCTTTATCCAGCGAGCAATTTCGAATGAGAACAAAATTTATTCTGACTAGTACGGAACCAAAAATAAGCTATTTGAGAGATAAACCATGCCATTGAAATTCCGCATGATTTGAACTATCGAAGAACTACAAAAAAAGTTTTGCGAAAAGCAAAGGATGCGTTTCTACCGAAGGCCTCAATTGGCGCCACCATAATAGAACAGTACTCTGTTTGTTATGTGAATTCTTCCCACTGAAGGCCTAGATATTATTCGTCTTTATTTTCACTTTGTTACAAGCCACCGTCATGTCCGCCAATAAAATAGAACTTTGTGTTTTACAGCGTCATTATTGGAAAAAGGGTATTTCACAGCGAGCTGCAGAAGATGGAAATCAACGGAGTTGAAGGGGAAGGCACAAGAAGCAAACTGCTGCTGGACGCTGGTATCTACAATTCAATGCCAAAGATCTCAACCTCTGAGAATAGCCTCGTTAAGGCGTCCAACAACATTGAAGAGCCATGTGTAGAGTTTATTTGATTCGAAGTCGAATGAATCATACTTCAACGAGATTCCAAACAAAGCGGACCAATGGCAGAAAGTCGTAGGAAACGATGGCCTTTATTTTGAAGAATTGTTAATGTTTGCTTTCAATCTTTTTCAAGTGCATAGAACTCCTTTTCAACTTAATATATAATCATTTCTAAAGCTTCTAAGATCAGCTGCTGTACATTATCTCAAAATTTTTGCATAACCCTTTGTGGAGCAATCGACAGGTTTCGTACCGTCCCGTTCGACGTCAAACCTCACTCATCTACTGTAATGGTGAGGCCGCGCCTTGTGGAAAGTGATGACGCGACGCCACCTACCTTTCAACGCTGAGTCCCTTGAAGGGTTTTAGCAGCATGCAGTTTAGCAATTCTTTTGCTCATTAGGTATATCTGTTCAGAACAACCTACAACAGTGGTACGCAAATGCTTCTAAGTATGCAATGAAACGCGGGTCCAACTCCGCCTGATGTCGTATTTTTGCTCGTCACTCAACTCTCTTAAGTCTATTCATAGAATTAATGAACGATTGGTCAGAAATAACGACACCGACGGTTTATATATAGACAAGGCTATTCAAGTGGTCATTTGAATAGTTAAATGCGTTTAAGTAACTTTTTTTTGGGAAATTATGTGAGCGTAAAATTCCAAAATATATGAAAAAAAATTTCATTATAACTTTCTATCTGTATGAGTGTTGATGTGTTGGTGTTTCGAGATTTGATCGTCAACTTCGGCTGCTCGTTTGCTTCAATAATGCAGTTAGTGATCACGTCAAATTCATCGACTTCATCATTTTTATATGTCATGAACAAACCTGAAATCAAATGCACATGAATGGCGCATTTGGTTCGAATCATCTCAAAACTTCTATGTGTTTTCGTCAGGGCGCCTTTGAACGATTGAGCTACGTAACTGGATTATTTGGTTAGGCTAAAGATTTACAACGATCACGGACGTTTTTTACTGCAAAGTCAAAAAAGCAGTTTTATCTTGTCAATACTTTCATTAATCCTACTGTATGAGATGTCACATTAAACATCAGACCCATTATTTCTCGAAAAAATTCAAAAATGATTTTTTTCGTTCGTTCAACACTTCTCACAATCATGAATAATGTACGAGACTCGCATAACCATACACTAGATTGCTGGGATATCTATCGATTGTGGATTCATGACGTCATGTTTGTCGACAGAGAGCGATTAAAGACAATATTTGCTTTAACCGACTTTGATTTTTTTTCAGTGATCATGAAAGTATTGCTAGCTACTCAGCTAATGTTATGTTCTGATCCAAATTAAGGCAGTATGGCAATAGACGCAGCATTTTTGCAAAATAGTGATGATTTACGAGTTTTTGACCAGTAGAAGTTGGGGCGAAAAAGTTCTATCACATATTGGCACAACTGAACAAAATCTTTACTAAAGACTAAATTTGATTACCAAGTCCATTTCAGTGAGCTCATTGATAAGCAAGGTGGCCGAGTGTATCGAATTTCCTCTACTTTTACTGATTCCCCTCATTGATTGGAGTCATAGACGGTTTTAACCAATTAAAGCTTCGTTACCTGCCTGGCGTGCTCTACTATGTCGGGATAGTCAGTAGCGAAAGTCTGCGTGATTGGCGTGAACATCGGCTAAACGAACGTGAGCAACTGAAGAGGTTTTGACATCGCTGACTTCCGCTCCGGCCAGTGTTTCGGCTCACTTTCTCCTCTTCAAGCCCGATTGATCCAAGTCGATGCTCCACAGTCGTTATTCCTTGTTCTGGCCTTCGACTTCAATGTCGTTTGAGTCGGATCTTCTTCGGGAGAGAAACGCTTGAATGAGAACATCATGCAGCAGAGCTCTTTTTATAGAGAATGGCTAGTGATGATAATGAGTGTCCTATGATAAAACTTGTTTTTCATCAACCATTTCATCCTCTGAAAGTCGGTGTAATAAATGGAATGCACGGAGCATCGCAATAGAATGATAATCGACATTACTACGGACTTACTACTCAGTCACATCTCTTATGTTGAGGGAGCCAGTTTTGATTTTTTGATTTGTTAATAACCTATTTATTCGTCCAATGTATCAACGCGCTTCGCCTCCTTCAGAGCGTCTTTGATTAGCTTAAAGCTGAAGAAAAAGTTGATCATCAATTTATAATAAAGCTCCGAGCAAGCCAGCAATGACACCATTTTTCGCAGGAAGTATTGTCCGACGAAAAGCAAATATTATCGTTAAACAATCAGTACCATCAGTAACCGTTTTGTATAAGAAGGGATTGCTGGGTGAACTCTCATTCCTGCGGTGCTTCCGTGAAGAAGACTCGACTAGAACGAGAGCGAAGACGAAGACCACAAGAGGGCGAACGGCCGTGAAGCATCAAACAAATCAATCTACTGTGAAGAAGACGAAGCACATCGAAACGTTGGCCCGAAAAAATACGTTTTCTGACAACGTTGTGAAGCTAGCTCGATCAGCGAAGATATAGATTCGTAGTGAGTCGTAAGTCAACAGAAAGCCAGTGATCAATTTACAGTACTGTGATTGAAAAAAAGTGCCAGTCTTATGTGTGTCATTTTGCCATCACTTCTCAAGCGACGTCTACTGGTTAGGAGCGGTCAAGTATCGCAACACAACAGTACCTGTGCTCTCTTTACAGCTACAATCCACACGCCTAATGCACTAATGATCTTCTATTATGCTATGCTATTACTACATTGGTTGTATCAAACAAGGGAAAATGAAAGATATCGCAGTCATTATGTTGCATGACTCTCAGACACATTAACCTCTAAGGGACGACGTGTACCAGCTGAGGTACACGATTGTTTGAAGGCCTTTCTAGCTGCATAAAGTTTTCTGCTAGACATTTCGTGATCATTCGAAAGCTTAAGTCTCTGCGATTTCAACGACCTGTTCAGTTTTGAAAAAAAGACTTTTATTACCTTGCAGCGAAAATAAAATTATGTTTTCCATTTGATTTTCTCCGTTTGCTCGGCTGGGGCTTCGATATGGCGCTTCACTTTGAGTGCAAGAGTCCATTATTAGATAGCTCGAATCTCAAGAATTTTGATGATTCTAATTGGTTTTTGAATGGTGTCACAGAAAGCTGTAAGAGCAGAACGGAAGATCACATTTCAAGCTCAAACTTTCACCCGCCGTCTGGACGTCATAGGTGGTTTATTGGTAATTATAGGTGAAGTTTATATGCCAGAGGTACCTTTTCGTTATTTAAAAATGAAATATCACGACATGAACCTTTACAAAGTTTTTCAAAAGTTTCTGATATGGAGAGTGATTATTTCACTTGAAATCCTTTATTTTTCAGCGGTAAACCG